ATTTTATATCATATTGGGAAAACAATTTGGTACGTATCTAAAATAAAATAAATAAAAAAAATGGAATTATTGGCGACCAAAAAGAATCATTATTAGAGGACTTCGGTCCAATATTACGTGAGCGACGATACATATTCTAATTGGCATCTAATATGGGAATCAAAATTGGCTTGTGTTGACACTTTAATGGTATATCGATATCGATATCGATATCAATATCACCATCGATATTTCTGTATTCGATATCAATATCATCATCGATATTTCTGTATTCGATATCACACATACACGTGATTTGTGCACTTAAAGGTTAGTTTATTTTCGTACTAAAATTTTTTCTTAATACATACAAGATTTCATCGATGAAAATTGTATAAAAATAGAATTCTATATCTTAATTTGCTTAAAGTTTTTAAAAATATCTTAGGCTAGCTCTTTCGAAACGCATAGGTCTTTTTCTTCGCGAATATTTATAAAAAAAAAAAGAAAAAAAAAAGAGTGGGAATAGAATAATAATAATGAAAAATAGTCGTTACAAAATATACAAATAATCGAAGTGAATAATCCTCTGCGTAAATAAACGAAATTTTCTATTTGGTGTGACGGTAATAAAAAAAAAAAAAGTTTTCAAAGATTATAAAGCAATCTATTTGTTTCTAATACTTCATGGGGCACTTCGTAGTGTTGTTGTTCTCCAAGACTCACCGTGTGATCGAGTAAAGTGTTTCCTAATATAAAAGGAAAATATAAACATCCAAACCCATTTTGAAGAAAACCGGCATTGATAGGGAAATTCATAGCGACATGGTCTGAATCGTATAATGAAAAATCGTTTGTTGCATTGATTAAAGGATTTGAAATCGAATTGTGAAGATTTTGAAGATTTTGATCAATTTGCGAAATACTTTTTTGATTCGAAAGTTTCGGTGTTTTCTTAACACGTGATGTTCCTCTTTTCTTGTTTGTCTTGTGAATCCTATCTTTATGTCCGAAATTTTCCATGTTTACATTCACAAAAACATTTGCAACTTCCTTTGTTACCTTCTTGACATTACAATTCTCATATCGTTCTTTTTCAATCAACTTAATATGCTTTGCAATTTCAACAAAAATATTTTTTTGAAGTTGACTAGCATGCTTCCAAATTTTGGTGGTAACTTGAGTTAAAAATTTACCATCTGCAATTTCATCTGTGAGTCCTCTTTTGATCGCAAGCAAATATATTTTTCTGCGGCAACAAAGAAAAGAATTCATTGGCCGCGGTATTTTTTTAACGTCCTTGGGAATTGGCATAAGTAGCTCGTTTATATCAATGTTGAAATTAAAAAGCTGATTCATATCAAGCTTATTAATAAATCGATCTAAAGAATCATCATATAAGTCAATAAAGTTTGGTTCAGTCATATTTTTGTAAATGGATGACTTTGAAATAGAATGATATGTGTAGTCAATTATTTAATTTGAACCATCTGATAATGTTTAAAACTCGACTCAGAGAATAGCTCATATTTATATTGTTTGAAGAGACTAGTATACTATACCAAATGATCTCTGTCAAATAAATTTACACAAGTGTCTTTGTAAGTGTCTTTGTCAAATCATCCATTTCAGGTTTATCAAAATGAAATAGCGGGAAATTGAACGAAGGCGTAAAAATTACGTATAATTCGTATAATCCGTATAATCGTTAATCGTTAAATGGAATAATTATAATACTGTAATTATTATTATTATTATAAAAGATTGAGTGCTATCTCCATATTGGGGTAAATGTTTATTACACAACACATTATCGATATTTAATATACATCTAAACTTAAAGCTAGGTTAATTATTCCGTCTTTTTTACCCCGCGTAAAAAAAAAAAAATAAAAAAAAAAAAATAAAACTATACTAACCTAATAACTCTAATAACATGTTAGGTATATGCTCAGTTATATTTACGTTTCACTGAGGGATTAAATCCGCTAATTATGTTAATTTATGTTTCACTTAGCAGTTAGGGATTAACTAGTGATCTACAATAATTGGTTACGTACCTTAATTTATTTTAAGAACCTTGAAATTTAAAAATATATATAAATAATTAAAAAAAAAAGAACAATATCTTTTACCTTTTCATATTGTTACTAGTTCTTTCATTATCAATCATAAACGAATCGACCGGGGTAACGGATTTACTTTTTTTTCAAATAGTTGAATTGTCAAAAATGTACATATCTATGTGTGTTATTATCTAGATAAACTTTCTGTAATTTTAGACACTAATGTCCCGAATTCCTAATGAAAAATAAATTAGGTAGTTATGATAACATTTCTCCACAAATAAAAAATATTAAAAAAAATATTATTGCATCAATTAAAAATATAAATTAGTACGAATATCATTATCAAAAACTACTATTGTTCTTTTTCTTTATAATGTATGTTTAAATTAGGAAACAAACAACAAGGGATACCGGTGTACAATTGTTGGGTGTCCTTAGTCAAAAAATTTTACGATAAAAATCCTTTAATTTAATGTAGAGCATAGTAGCCAAAGACAATCTGCAATTTGTAAAAATAAAACATAATAGCTAATCGTTGCATACTTTTGCAGACTTCTGAAAACAATGTGAATTTTTGTCATTATAATCAACGTAATGTACTCTAAAGTTGAATTCTAGATATATATTGAAAACGTGGATTATTTTGCGACATTTCTTTTTATCTCCTTAATCAGTTGACCTTGTACACTGCATATCTAACAATGGTTCCAGCATAATAAAGGTCATCTTTTCCGTTTTTGGGTAAAATTTTCACATGTTTAACAATGCTTTAACGTTAAATCCCTTTATGATGAATACTTTTTCACAAAACAAATTTGGAATATAATTAACTTCGTTTTCTTGATCCAAATTTTTTTACGTAATTTAAGAAAAATGCGGGGAAATATAATTGCATCTCTCAAACAACAATAAATGCGGAATTCTTAATGCTTCCATATTTGTTCGAAAATGACAAACATCCTCTCTTTTCCTTTAAACTTAACCTCAGGATTCTCAGGATTGAACAAATGATAAACAATGAATTCACTATTACTTTTGTGTGTAGTGTGAATTGATGACTTTTATAATCTTACGAATTTGGATTTGGTTACCTTAATTTAGTTCCAATTTGGTTCCAATTTGGTTTCAATTTGATTCCAATTTTATTCCAGGTTTAGTTTTTTTTTATCCAATCATGACATGCATAAAAAATACTTACGTAGTTAATTCCCATCTAACATATTAAGTGTAAAATATAATGGTCCTTAACACAATGGAGACGCATTGTTGCTCTCAAAAAAATGCTAGCCTCCAAAAAAAAACAAGGTTACTTTAAAAAAGGAAGGTGCCAAAATCACACATCATGCTATTGTGCGGAACTTTATATCCGGATAATACAAATTTATAATGGGGTAATTAGTGAAAACAAAGAAAGTTTAATGCATAATTCTCTGAAAATTTTGAACCAACTAAAACATACAGAACTTACGGTGAAGTACATTATACAATGCATTGCCTCTAACTTATCCTTTTAGATCTGGTCTATCAGTTCAATTTTTTTTTTTTAATGCGTAAAACTTAAGAGGATATTACGTATTCGGATTTTCATTAGGCATATAATCAATTAAAAAACGATAAAAGAATTAAAAGGATTAAAATGATAGAATAGAACACATAAACCTGTAAACTTGACTTGTTCAACTATTCTATATCAGATTTAAGTTCAGCTATGTTTTTCGATTTGTCAGCGCCCAATGTAATTTCAAATGTTCGATCGGAAGTATCGGAGGTGGATAATGCAGCTCCGGATCTACAATAGAATTGATTGTGTCTGCCGAGTTTTAGCCAAATTATTAAACATACAATTCTCTTTGACTCAATATACTGTACTTTTACGGACTAGAAAATTTTTTTTCGTTATTAAGAAAACGTGAGATTTTTTTTTTATTAAAAAAATGTAAAAAAAAATGTTCAAGCGGTCTATTTCTAAAAGACTAAATATTTCCGTAGTTACATAAATATTAAGCTCATTATACTGTAAATCTAATTTTAAATATTTAATTTAATTATACAGAACAGTATATTTTAAGAAATACAGAAATATGAGGACTGGTCTAGGAAAATGTCAATCTGGGAATTTGAGAGTTCACCAATTAAGAATAGTATTCATAACTGGGGTATTATGATCAATCGGAGAATTCTCAAATTCCCAGATTGACATTTTAATAGACCAATCCTCATATTGTAACTACACTATGGCTATGACGCATAAAAGAGAACTCCATTGTGATTATGACGTATATATGACATAAATGACGACACGCGTTTTTACGCTTTTTTGTTTCGAAAATAAATTTCCCATAGAAAGTTTAATATAACCTTTTTTAATAGTTTGACTTGATTGACATCGGACTTTGCATGCAAATTTGATTAAAAGCTTACGCATATGAATTATAAGATACTTGGTTATGGAAGCTAATTTCATGTGTTCGTTCTGTGTTGCCACGGGCTAGACTGTACGTATCTAGTTCTTATAGAGACTCTCAATTCATTAGCTCGTGACTTACAACTACTAAATTATACCTTATTTTTTTTTAAGTATTTTGCCAGAGGCGTGACTATGATGATTCAGTCAATATCGATATCTAAAATTTACATTGTAATACAATAAAAGCTAATTATAAGTATCTATATTCCCCTACCTCGCACATAAGTGTTGTACCCAACCTTGCCCAAGTTACTTCTTTAAATAATTTTTAATAGATTAATAGAGTGGTTTAAATGTCTGCTCTTATCGTTATGCTAAGCCTTTACTTCACATCATGCTATAAATTATCATACGATTTAATACGATTCATGACATAAATTATCATACGCGGGGATTGAATCTACTGCGCAGCCTGCGGCATTATGCAAGCTGATGTGAATTAGGCCAATTATATCGATATCGATATAGCTGAATTTTAAAATCGTATATAACGATAACGCGCCTTCCAAAAATTCTGCGCAAGCTGCGCATCCTAATCGTACGATTTCGAAAAAAAAATTGATGAAAATTGTTTTTATAAAAAATATATAAATAATAATTATAGTAAATAATATATACCGTATTTGCGCGAAATAATGCGCAGGGGCATAATTTTGAATATCGGCCTAAATTAAGCTTAATTCGGCCATTATTCGATGTGCACAAATACGGTATTTAATAATAATAAAATTTTTTATGACCAAAGTTATAATTTCTTACCCTATTAATATTTTAAGCGAGAAATATCTAAGCAACTTTTATTTTTCAGTATTATTTTTTTTTTTCTCAAAAAAAAAAAGTGCATTCAACACTGTCTTCTATTTATGTTCTGCGTCAATCACAGATTTTCGCTTTGTCGATTATTAATCGACAAGATTTTAAGATTTTCTTATTAAGACAATTCGAATGATATTAAAATCTTAGATGTTCAAGTACTTTTTTTAAGGTATTTTTATTAAAAGTCAATATTCAAAAAGCATGATTTACAGGTTTCTCGTGCCATCACTCATATAATCCTGATATTTCATAAAAAAAAAATTTGCATAAAAAAAGTTTTTCTAATTATTAAGTTCGTTAAATAATTTTTCAAAATCTTTTATTCCACTAAATATTATAATGATTAACAGGGATGAAATTATGAATTTCAGCTAAATTAAGCTTAAATCGGGCCATTATTCTAAATAACGCTCATGCCCGACAATACGGTATATTGAATCTGTTGGTTTTGTTTTTTTTTAAAAAAAAAAATAATAATAATTTTTGAGAATTGTTAAT